TTTTTTTTTTTTTTTTTTTTTTTTTTTTTTTTTTTTTTTGAGACAAGGTTTCTCTGTATAGAAACCTGGCTGTCCTGGAACTGGCTCTGTAGATCAGGCTGGCCTTGAACTCCAAGATCTGCCTGTTTTTGCCTCCCGAGTGCCAGGACTAAGGATGTGGGCCACCACACCCAACCCTATAATTTATTTGAATTAATTTAGTTTCTGTAGTTAGTGCTAGAGGTTGAGCCTAAGGCCCAGCACAGGCAAGTGCTGTCCCCCTGAGTGACCCTCTGTCCTCTTTTTCTTTCTTCTGAACATGAGACAGGATCTCATGTTGCTCTAGCTGGCCTCAAACTCAGGACTGTGTGTGTGTGTGTGTGTGTGTGTGTGTGTGTGTGTGTGTGTATGAGACCTTGAATTTCTGATCCTCCTGCCCCACCTCTTAAGTGCTGAAATTATAGGCCTGGGCCACCACACCCAGTTTATTGGCTGAGGAGATGGAATTCAGGAGTGGGGAGGGGGTGGGGTGTGAGGAAGAAGGGAGAGAACACAGAAAGACAAAAGAAAAACCCTAAGATACTGTAGTCTGCTGGGCACGGTGGCACACAACTGTAATCCCAGCACTGGGGGAGGCAGAGGCAGGCAGATCTCTGAGTTCTAGGCTAGCCTGGTCTACATAGTGAGTTCCAGGACAGCCAGGGCTACACAAAGAAACCCTGTCTCGAAAAGCCAAAACACAAAAACAAACCAAAACAGAAAGGGTACTGTAGACGTACTGTCAGGAGCCCCTCTAAATAGCTTTCCTTCCGCACATTCACACAGGCATACTCAAACACAGTTTTTGTAGCTTCCTGGAACCATGACTCAGAAAGCTGTGAACACTAAGTGTGGGACTCACTGAATTTTACCCGACAGCATCCAGCACATTTGCCCTGGCCATTACCCATTCTTCAACAACGTGAACTTCCCTTTTTCACATGACCCTCGTCAAGAGGTCATCTCACAGTGACTGACAAGTCTCCTGTCAGATGCTCCAAGCTAACTTGGTTTTCCCGTGTATGAGAACACTGCACAGACAGCCGGGTCTGCAAACGTCTATACTCTGAGGACAAGCTGCTAAGCCACCCATGCCTCCTGGGCAGAAGCCACCCCCTCCCCCCCCCAGGCTGGCTCTCCTGGGAGCCTGCAGGGTGCCCGTGACCACCAAGGCCTGGGTCACCCCACAACCGAAAGTTCACACGGGCCCTTGCTTCCTCGTCAGCTGCATGGCAGACTGTCTTTGGAAGAGCAATGCATCGCTTGCATTTTCCTCTCTTGAGACTGTTCTTATTCCGTAGCCAACTGTCCTTCGATTAATATCATGCCCGTGCCAGCACTAGACCCTGGCTATCTGCATGTGTCTGCCTCCCGAGCGCTGGATTTCGGGGTGAGCCTCACACCCTGCTTGTCTCTTTTTTGTCTTCGTTTCTTCACATGGTAGGGTTGCCCTAGAATCTCTGTGTTGGGTGGCCCTGAGCAGGGCTGTGCCACTTCCTGGGGAGCACCGAAGCACCTGTCAGGTGGAGGACACATACCCACAGAAGGGCTGCTCCGCCATCGTCCTCCCACACCTTCTTAGGAAGAGCCAGGACCTGCTGGTGCGGGGTCCTGCTGCCAGCTGCCCCTGCCCCGTGCAGACGAACTCCCTATGGCCTCAGCTCGAGCTGTGTGAGCTCAGCCCAGGCTCTCTGGTTCTGCCCTGGAAACTGGGAGATGGGGACCCCTAACTGCAGGGGTGTCTCTGCAGTTAGGACCTGTTAACTGGATTCTTGACAGCCTGGGCCTCAGCACTGCTTCTGGCTATGGCCTTGGGTGCACCCTGGGGCCTCAGTGGTCCTCCTTGTGACCTGGAAGGTAGAAGGCAGCAGAGAATCAGACCTGCCCAGCGGCCAGGCCGCCGTGGTGGCTATTTGTTGAGGACAGACAGGGCTATGTTTATCTGGCCTCCTGAAGGACAACTGCTAGTCTAGCAGCCTGGACATTCCCACACCACACACACCCCGCTGGGGCGGGGAGCTCGCCTCTGTGCAGACTATACAAGGAAAGGGGATACCAGCAGCTGCTGGAGTGCCCTCTCCCTGGGCGCAGGGCGGGCAGCAAGAGGAGGAGGTCCCCGGTGCTTCCAAGACACTAGGGAACTCGGAGTATGGGAAGTAGCCTGCCTGGCCACCCACTGTTGCACAGGCTAGACCTGTCCTTCAAGGCCTCCCATCCCCCACCCTGCCCCAGCCTGGACTGGCCATGTTCCATCACCACCTGTTCCCACCAGGGGGCAGTAATGAGCCTTAGGCTAGCACCGTCATGGTCCGTCACCGGGGTCTCCACATAGTAGAGGCCTTGAAAGGGGACACCGGGTACTCAGAAGCACTGGTGACAGGTGGGCAGGGAAGGGGCTCGCTGGAAAGAGGGTCAAAGGATGGCAGCCATGGTCTGTCTGGAGCTGGTGCAGAGGGAAGGGGTTAAGGTTGTCAGTGCAGAATCTCATAATAAACTCTGAGGCAGAGCTGAGGTCCCGGCGTCCCAGGAGGCCAGGCTGCTTTTCATGGGCCTCAGAGAGCGGTGGCAGAGGCCCAGCCATTAAAAATTATGTAAGAGGAGACCAGGCGTGATGGCTCACAGCGTTAACCTCAGCACCTGAGAGGCAGGGGGGAGGGGTGGAGCTCCGTGTGTCCGAGGCCAGCCAGCGCTACACAGTGAGACACTTAAGAAAATGAGACAGGATCTGTCAGACTAAAGAGATGAGTGGAGTGTGGTCCCATACGCTCTCCTGAGCAACACAGAAGGGCCACACACTACGAGAAGGGTGGGGTTCCAGGTGGTCCTGCTGGCTGGCTTTGTGACACGTGGCCCATGACCGAACACTCTGCACTTAAGGCTAAGATGGCCCAGTACTGACAACCTACTCTCTCCCCCTCTTTCCTCCCGTCCCCTCCCCTCCTCTCCCTTTTCCTCTCCTCTTCCCCTCCTTCCCTTCAAGGTCTTACTAGATAACCCTGGCAAGCCTGGAATTCAATATGTAGACCAGAATGCTCTCAAGCTCACAGTGATACTCCTGCCTCTGCCACTCAAGTGCTGGGACTGAAGACATGAACCAGCCAGGAGGCAGAGGCGGGCAGATCTCTGAGTTCGAGGCCAGCCAGGGCTACACAGAGAAACCGTATCTCAAAGCAAACAAACAAAAGCCAGCATACTGGCCCCCAGCCCTTTTTTTTTTTTTTTTTGAGAGAGAGAGAGAAAGAGCCGAGACAGTGTCTTTTGTAGCCCACACTGAGCCTTGGCCTCCTATGTGCTGGGATCACGGCACATGGCACAATGCCCAGCTTTCTTCTCTGCAAGCCATCTCCACTGGGTAAGCAGGCCCCTTGTGGGTCCTCAAGACCCGGGTCCTCAAGCCTGTTCCTGCTTGCATGCAAGGAGCTCTCCAGCAGGCGGCAAGGAAACAGCAGCCCAGCCCCTTCGCCCACCTCACACCCGTTGCCCCTCACGCCCTCAGGTGACGCATCACTTGAAGATTGACGGCGATATCGCTCAGACCACGCTGGACCTCACCAACACCCACTGCAAGGTGGACATGCATAAGAAGACGCTGCTGGAGCTGGACAAGGAGGTGAAGAGGTTCAACGACCTCATCACCAACAGCGAGAGTGAGATCGCACGGCGCACGATCCTCATCGAGCGGAAGCAGAGCCTCATCAACTTCTTCAACAAGCAGCTGGAGCAGATTGTGTCGGTGTTGGGGGTGAGCGGCGGACGTGGGGGCTCGCAGACAGCAGGCACCCGAGTGTGCGTGTGCGCGTGTGTGCTTGTGCTCCAGGCCACACAGGCCTGCTGGCGGCGGGAGGCTGGAAAGGCTGGGCTGGGTGACACAGCCGCCCCCCAGCCTCTGCACCCGGAACCTGAATTCCGCATCTTTCACATCTGGCAGGAGCCTTCTTGTGATTTTGTTGGTTCTGTCTGTTGTGGGGCAGAGTCTTTCTGTGGCCCTGAGGCCTTGGCTTGAATGCCAAGTGCCGCCACGCCTGGGTCCCTTTGATTTCTCTTCATGGCTTGTGAGCCGCACAGACACAGATGGCCGACTGGACGGACCTACTAACTGCCGCACCAGGTTGGCGGCCTGATGAGCTTGGGGGCCCCGTCTCCCTCTGTGAGGGCCTCACCTATCTCCCAGGCACCCATGACCTAAGGGCCCACTGCAGGCTCCAGGTCCTCAGGTAGACCAGGCTGTCGGGGAGGCCCTGTGCAGAGGAAGCCCTAAACCCCGATGGTCTTGAGCCAGAGGACAGGGCACAGAGGCTCCTTGCAGGTCAAAGGCTGTGCCCACGAGAACCTGGCACCTCAGAGCCCGTGAGAAGATGAGGGTCTCTGAGCCCTCAGAGTAAACGCCCTAGTTCATGATTCTCCATAGCCCACCCCAAAAGAAGGCCCATCGGGCGTTAGCTCAGCCGGCACCACAGTAACAGCCAGGCAGCTTGTAGCTGCGACCCCAGTGCTGGAGTCTCAACAAGCAGGGAGCTCCAGGTTCGGCAGGAGGCCCTGTCTGAACAGAGTAACACTCAGTGGGGAAACCTCACTGCCCACCCCATGGCCACGTTCACGCACGCACACACACACATGCACGCATGCGCGTACACCACACATATGGAATAGCAAAAGCCTGTGGACCCTGAGGCTCATGCTGCGCCATGATTAAACCCCTCCAGGGGGAAGAGCTTGGACCCCTAGAGCTGGAGATCAAAAGGCTGTCGAAGCAGTCGGAAGAGATAAACGGGGTATTGGCTGAGGCGCAGGTGAACTGGCTGCGGCTGCAGCAGGACCTGGTGCAGGTCACCAACGAGCGCGAGGAGCAGATGGTGTGCCTGGACCAGCTCAAGAAGGACATGCACATCATGGAGCAAAAGAAGCTTCGCGTAGAGAGTGAGCCCCGGGGAGCCCGGGAAAGGGGCGCAGAGAGGGAGCCCCGGGCGCTGGGAAAGTGGCTGTGCAGTGCCAGGCTCCTCTAGCCCGGTGACTCCCAGCCAGGGTGCCAGCTGTGACCCCAGCAGACAGTGGGATGAGGCTGTGGGCTTGGGGCTAGCCTGGGCTACAGAGTAAGATTCCCCGTTTCAAAACAAAAACAAATCAAACTATGAAAGTGCTAAAGTCACCTGGTGTGTCAGTGCCACACGCCTGTGCTCCTGAGGTCCGTAGGGGATGGGAACAAAACTCTCCTTCAAGGGAACTCTGAGGTCTGTGGACTCTGACAGATGCAGCCAGTGTCCTCCCCAGCTAGAGTTAGAATGTTTGTCCCCGCCCACACAGGCCTCAGGAGCACGGTGAAAGCCTTTAGCCACCCAGAGCAGTGGATCCCCCTGGTTGTCCCCGAGGTCAGCTGAGGTCAGCTGTATCTGAGACCCAAGGACCAGCCAGGGGCTCCTTCACCAGGGGTCACCAACACACAGCACCCTGCTGGGACATCCTGAGCCTCACCAGGCCCAGTTAGGCCTTCTCTAAAACGCTGTGGAGTGACCCTGCCTGCCCACTTCCCAGAGCTCACACCACACCCCCTGGCAGCCTCTGGCTCCACATGGCTACCTACTGGGGAGGGTCCAGTCTGAGAGGGAGGAGCAGGGTGGGAAGCCAGAGCTGGGCAGAGATAAATGCACCTGCAGACCTGGCTCTGAGCCAGCCATCCCTGCTCTCCACCCCGACCCCTGCTTTCTACCCCTGCTCTCCACCTGTGCTTCTGCAGCACAGGGTCCTTGAAGTTCCCTCCTGGGACCAGGCTTTGGGAAAGAAAGTCCAGGAAGAGACCCAGCCTCGCTGGGTGTGGTGGAGGGACACATACGTCAGCCAGTCAGGAAGGGGCCATGGGAAGGCATAGCTGCTGCCATCCATCACCCCTCCACTTGCCTGTCCTCCTCAGACAAGATCGAGCAGGAGAAGAGGGAACAAAAGGAGATTAGCCGCCACATGAAAGACCTGGGCAATGACCTCACCAAGCTGAACTCGCTGTTGGACAAGAACCGCTGCAGCTCGGAGCAGCTGCAGCAGAGCAACCTGGTGGCCGAGACAGACTTCGTGCACATACTGAAGGTTGGCACTGCCCGGGTGTGGTGGAGGGCTCACTCTCCAGGCACATACCTCCTGTAGTGGCTCAGAGGGATCAGAATGTTAGTCTGAGGCTTCGCTGTGCCTGAGGGACTCCAGGGGCCACAGCCTCGAGCCTTCCTCACAGTTCTCCTTGGTCCCCACAGAAAGCAGAAAGAGAGAGCATCCAAATGCAGGAAAAGCTGACACAGCTCCAAGAGGAAAAGGCCACCCTCCTCAACAGCCTGGTGGAGGCCGAGTGAGTAGGGGGCACGGCTGTGTGCTGGCTCTGAAGGTCACGGGGCTTGCGAAGGTTCTGTGGGGTTGACTATCAAACATTGGCACTACTGAGGGATCTCTGAGGGCCCCGGGTGTGGACCCAGGAGAACCACACATAGCCAGACAGATCAGCAGAATACCCCTCGGCGGCAACTACCAGCCAGGCCAGGTAAACTTTGAGATAAACATTATAAAAGGTTTCCTATTTTTATGGAAAAAGGTAGGCTTACATAAACTCAACCCTAAGCAGTTCACACTATTAGAAAGTATTGAGAGTAGAAAAGAAAAAAACAAAACAAACAAACAAACAAAAAAACCAGGGAGACGGCTCAGTGGATGAGGAAGTTCACTGAGCAAGCATGAGGACCGGAATTCAAGTCCCCAGCCACCCATGCAAGCAGCCAGGTGTGGCCAAGGCTGTCCATAGCCCCAGCGTGATGGAGCTTGGTCTAGCTCTAGGCTCTGGGAGAGCCCTTGTCTCCTGAAAATATCTGAAGAGTGATGGGGCAGGAAACCTGATGTCCTCTGGCTTGTGTGCATGGCTAAATGCCACCCCTACACACACCTTCAACTATTTGAAAGGGAAAATTCACGTAATTTCAACTCTGCTCCTTGGCCCCCTCCCAGGTGTGGGTGCGCATGCGTGCGTGTATGTACTGGGGATGGAATTCAGGCCTTGCACATGCCAGGCAAGCGTTCTGCCACTGAACCCTACCCTGCCCACAGCACTCCTTCATCAGAAGAGAGCACCCTGGAGATGTTTCCTTCTTGTTCTGTTTGTAGCAAACCCTTCCCTCTGAGGCAGCTTCACCTTGTGGTGTCTTTGCAGTTTTGCATGCACGTCCACCTCTCCCGTGGAAACAGTTGGTGGGCACATGAGGGCGCCCCTTGATTGACAGGAGCGTTCTAGAAGGGATTGAAAAGGGATACTGTGACCAGATCTGCATTAATGCGGGTACACACACACACACACACACACACACACACACACACACACACACACAGTGGCTTTAGGGCATTGTTCTTGGTTACCTTTTGACAGTTTTTACCAGTCACATGTACATTCTCAGCTCCTAAGTTATATACCCCACCGCACCGCCTCCCCCCTCCCTGAAACTACAGTTACAATCAGCAGTGAATCACCACATGGAAGCTCGGAACTGAATCCAGGCTCAGGCTCTCCGCTAGAGCAGCCCTTGTTCTTAACTGCTGAGCCATCTCTCCAGCCTCAATCTCTAATCTCTCCCTCTTTTAATTCTTCCCTCCTCCTCCTCCCCCTCCTCCTCCTCTTCCTCCTTTTTCTCCTCTCTTCTCTCTTTTTCCCTCTCCTTATCGACAGCCCAGGGGCAGAGGTCTATCTGTCTCAAAAGCTGGCAAACATTTCTGTAAGGAGCTTGAGTAACGATTTTTTGGCTTCGTGTGCCGCACCCCTCAGCAGAGGGGTGGGGGTGCTGCCACCCCAACTCAAACTGCTCTGGCCCTGATGCTGTCTCTCCCGCCTCTGAAGACACCAGATCATGCTCTGGGAGAAAAAAATCCAACTGGCTAAAGAGATGCGGGCCTCGGTGGATTCTGAGACCGGGCAGACAGAGATCCGAGCCATGAAGGCTGAGATCCACAGGATGAAGGTGAGCAGGTCTCAGCCTGTGGGCACGGCTGGTCGGGTGTGCTGCGGGTTGGGCCACACGGGAACCACTTAGCCACCCTGCCGGTGGCAACGGTGGAGACTCCTGGGGGAGCCGCTGCTTCACGGTGACTGCCTTCCCTCAAACAAGGCTCTGTGCCGTCACCACCTCTCACACCAGGACCTGCCTGACCTTCAAGGTCTGCAGAATCATCTCAGGACGGCCGGACCCGGGATTTTACACACGTCACCTCATAAAATTTTGTTTTATCTTGACTCCAAGCAGCTAAGGCCCTCTGATCTTCACAAATATTTGTTGTAAAGCCGTTTCCCAATCCACTAACCCCCTGTGGGACAAGAAGAGCCTCACATGGCCTGGTGTGGTAGTCACGTTCTTAATACCAGTAGCTTGGGGCCAGCCTGGTCCACACAGCAAATTCCAGGCTAGCCAGGGTGACATCGTGAGACCCTGTCTCAAAACACAACAAAAACCAAGTCATACGACAAAAGGTTGAGAGAGCCCTCATGTCTCATGTGTAGCAAGACCTCACTAACTTTAAGAACAACTGAATCATAAGTGACCATCAGTTTAAGGTTCAAGACCTTAAGGTCAAGCATAAGAGCCATTAGTGGCTGGAGAGATGGCTCAGGGGTTAAGAGCACCAGCTGCTCTTCCAGAGGCTCCAGGTTCGATTCCCAGCACCCACATGGCAGCTCACAACCGTCTGTAATTCCAGTTCCAGAGATAAGGTGTCCCCTTGTGGCCTTCACAGGCACCAGGCACGCACATAGTACAGATACATTGTATATGCTGGCGAGGTACATGTATATGCAGGCAAATCCCCCACATACTTAAGAGTAAAATCTTAAATTATAAAATATTTTAATTTTTCAGCCAATGATTAGATTAACTAACCAAAGAGACATCATTTTTCCAGTGGCGTTTATTATGTAAAGGCCTGTTCAGCTCTCAGGCGTGAGCTGAGCTAGGATGCAACTCGGCCTTAAAGTATTTGTGTATGTATTCAAGGCCCAGGATTTGATCCATAGTGTGGCTGCTTGGAAGGACCTGCAATCACCTAGAAGACAACTGGGCACACCTGTGAGGGATTACCTAGATTAGGCTCACTGAGGTCACAGTAGTCACCTGACCTGTGCTCCTCACTGTTCTATGGACTGTATCCTTAGAACTGCAAGCCAAAGTAAGTCCCTCACTCCTTAACATATATAATAGTGTGTGTGTGTGTGTGTGTTTGTCCATTTCCCCGGGATGTGTGCACATGAGTGTAGCCTGAGGAGACCAGAATCATCAGGTTCCCCGAGCTGGAGTTACAGGCAGTTGTGAACCACCTGACGGCTCTCCAGGCCCCGCCCCCACCCCAGGCTGTTTGGTCACTGATGTTGGATGATCTGGTCGTTGGTGAGGACCCTTCACCTGGCTGTGCACCGAAGTCTAGCTAAGCTTGTGCTCACAAGTCCCCACAACCATGCGGACTGTAACCCTAGGTGTGTCTGCTGCTCTTTCCCCGTTACGGGTCCCTTCTGCACCGAGTAGAGTTTTTGGAACCGGTTGGGGGTCCCCAGAGGAGTAGACCCCACGAGGTGTTTGTGCAGTCACACCCACCCTGCCAGTAGTGCGCCTGCACGCTAAGACAGTCCCCTAAGAGGCCTCGGGGGTCCAGCACCAGAGTCAGCCCAAAGCCACAGCCGCAGCCCCAACACGGAACACGCCGCACCCCAGCCCTAAGGGCTCCCGGCACCTTTCACCCCAGTGGACAGGGCGGGTGTTCCTACCCAGCCCACAGCTGCTCCTGCTCCTGCACCTGCTCGTCGCTTCCACAGCCTTCCTCACGGCGCACCCAGCTACCTCACACGGACACATAAAAGCAGACATTGCAGTCCCGCCCCCTGAATCCCGGGATGCTGAAGGTTGCATAAGAACCCTCGCTCTGGGGAGGCCGGTCACATCAATTTTCGAGTGTCACGGGACAGTGTCAGAGCTCCTGTCACCTCCCCAGTACTGGGTGTCGGCTGTTGTCGGCATTTATTTATTGCCCTCTTGTTTTGTCTTGTTTTGTGTATGTGGTGCCTGCACATCCGTGTGTGAGCACTTGTGTGTTTGTGTGTGGTAGTGTGTGTGTGCCCGTGCATGTAGAAGTCAGGACATCCTTAGGAACATTGGTTACTCCCCTGAGACAGGGCCTCTCACTGGCCAGGAGCTCAACCATGAGGTCACACGGCAACCAGTGGGTCCAGGGCTGCTCCTGCCACAACCTTTCCAGCCCTGGATTACAACTGTGCACAGCCACACCCAACACTTTGGTGTGAGTTCTAAGTGTCAAACCCAAGTCTTCACATTTCTGAGGAAACCCTTGACTGACTGAGCTACCTCCTGAGCACCCCACCCCCTTTTTAAAAACAAGTTCACTCCTACGAAGCTTTCACACAACAAAATAAACGAATTTAAACCAGCTACGAACACTCCCGTGACTCCAAACAGCTCCCGTGCACCCCACGGTCCATGCTCACACCACCCATCCCCCAGCCTCTGTCTCTAGACCCTCCACCCAGCCTCCTCCAGTGTCCCCATCTTCTCACACCCAAACAGTTAACCTAGCCACGCCATTGCTCAGCACACATCCACCTCTGGGCAGATTCTACCCGCCCTGGCAATACGCCAGGCGTCGAGCCTGGTGTGCTCCCCTTCCTCCCCTCCTGCCTTGGCCGTCCCTCTCCGTCCATGTGTGCTGACCCCCAGCCTCCTCGTGGCCCTCTCCACAGGCCTGACACTTCACTGGCCATTGTCAAGGGCAGCCATGGGGGATGGGCCGCCCACCTCAGTCATGCCTTGCCCCACCCAGCCTGCGTCCTGTGTCCCCAGGTGAAACACGGACAACTGCTGAAACAGCAGGAGAAGATGATCCGAGAGATGGAAATGACCGTGGCCCACAGGGAGAACGTTGTGATCCAGGCCGAATCATCACGCAAAGCTGACAAGAAGATGATCACCAGGAACGACTTCCACTTCCAGCAGAATGAGCTGCGAAGGAAAATCAGGGACATTCGCAAGGTATGGCCACTGTCCCCCTCCTTCCTCGGCCCAGCACTGCGCCAGGGGCGCGCCCAGGCTGCCCGTCTGTGCTGGAGGTGGGGCATGACACCCGTTAGGGTTCACCTTTCCTCACTGCGCGAGACACAGAGTGGCCACCGGCCTGCTCTGGCTTGTCCACTCTGAGGGACACGAGAGGAGCAGCAGGCATCAGATCTCGGTCCCTAGGAGCATGCTTTCCCATCTTTCCTTCTCGCCGTTCCTTCGGGTTGGGGTCGCTGCTGCTGTGTCACGGGTGTGACAGAGGCAGAGGAGGGAAGAGAGAGCTCTAGGCGTGAACAAGCCAGTTCCTCCCACACTGCGGACACACACTGCTGCACCTTCTGGCCGTGGCCCCAGACCGGGAAGGGAGACGCGTGTCCCCACGCCAGTCCCTGCCCAATGAAGAGGTGGCATCTGTCAGCATGCCCGTGCTTCTGAGCACGCTGGCCTGTCACTGGGTGTCTGTCTGGGTCCAGCAGGCCATCCACACCAGGCACCACCCAGCACTGCAGGAGGCCACCTCCCACTGGCAGAAACAGACTCTGAGGATCCTGGAAGAGCCTTGAAAAAATAAAAAAAACAAAAAACAAAAAGCTCATGGACTCTAGAGGAGGGAAGACCAGCTGATGGTGTGGATGCTCCGTCCCGGAAAGAGGACTTAGCACCACTCCAGGCCCAGGCCCCCTGGCAACCGCCAGACCAGAGCCCTGGGGAGAAAGTTCGCAGCTGTTCCAAGGCCTCCACCAGGGTCTGTGGCCTTGGGTGTCTGTGGGACCTGTTAACGCGCTGGGAGACACAGGAGCAGTACACCTCCTGGGCTGAGATGCTTAAGTGAAACAACTAGTTACCTACAGTGTGGTAGTGCTAAGGACACCATGAATGTGGTCTCAGCCCCACCGCTCCCCTGGTGGCTGTGGCACATTATGTCACCCGTCTGCCTCAGCTTATAGTCCTCCAGAGAGCCACACAGAGCACCAGGACAGCCCCTGTAGGAGCAGGACATATGGCGCGCACCAATGAGCCACTCAGGCAGATGCAGGAGAATTGCCTCAAGTTCAAAGCCACTTCAGGCTAAATATGAGACCCTGTCTCAAAACAGTAGAAATGTTAAAGGCCTCTCTAAGGTACCTCCTGTATAGGGAAAGATCAGCTAAAAAGAACCATTCCAGTGGACGAGCCTGGAAGCTTCCAGAGTGAAGCGGCAGAGCGGCCATTCTCAGTCTTCCTGTGCTACACCCTCCTGCCTCTCCTGGTTTTTCCTCAGCTTCCTGCTGCATGTCTGGCCTAGCTGCCTTCCCAGTCCCCATCAGGAGCTCTTTCCTCTCTGCCCCACACCCCCAGCCAGCCAGCCTTTCCTCCCGCCCGTCACACGCAGCCCTCCTCCATCTCTCCTCAAAGGGGGTCTTTTCATCCTCCCATCAGGCCCTCCTGAAGCTCTGTGTCCCTGGGAAGTGGCTAAGGGGGGTTCCTAGGTCACCTTTACCCAGACGCTGCCAGGACCTTCCTCATCGTGGTAACAATACTTCCCCCTAGGGCCGCAGCTTCATCCCTGCCACACTGCTGCCAACATGGGCCCCAGCCCAACCCTTCCACCCTTCCTTCCCACACAACCTCACCCCTTCCTGGCTCCAGCATCACTGCTGACCTCGGCTGTCCCCACGCTCCTTCGGATCACAGACTCGCACAGACTGCTTCCCCCATGTCTTCCCCGGTTGGCATCGTGGACCCTGGGGTCTCTGAGGCTACGTCCCCCACCCCCATATAAATCTGTAAGGTCTGTGGCTGTTGGCATGAGATGCCCCCATGCTCCTGGGCATTTGAATACAGTGGTCCACAGTTGGTAGCACTGTTTGGGGAGGTTTGGGGGGCGTGGCCTTGCTGAAGGAAGTACACCAGTGGTGGCAGTGAGGCTAAAGACTACGTCCAGTTCACCCTCTCCGCTTCATAGTTACAGTTTGAAGATGTGAGCCCTCAGCTTTCTGCTCCAGCCACCGTCCCTCTGCTCTGCCATCATGGGCTCTTAAACCTCCAGACCTGTAAGCCCAAATAAATCCTTCCTTCCCTCAGTGGCCTTGACCATGACGTTTTAACATAGCAACAGAAAAGTGACTAATACAGGAACTCCTCCTCCTCCCCACCAGAACAAGCATTCTGAGGCACGGGGCCGCTCCTTAGCTGGATGCCTCTAACTGCTGGGCAGCCTGGTGCAGGAGCCCACCCGGTCCTGTTTCTCTCCTAGGCGACAGACGAGTGCGTCAAACACATTTCAGATCTGGAGGCAACTCAAAAGCTGCTCAACAGCACTCTCCAGGAGAGGCAGCACTCCCTGTCAGCGATGCAGAATGAAACGGACATTCTCGAAAATGAGATCACTCAGCTCTCGACTCTCAAACGACAGGTAAAGATCTGGGAGGTCCCTGGGCCTGAAGCCCCCAGGTGGGGTGAGAAGCATGTGGGTCCCCAGACGGAGACATGCCTGCGCCCAGCTGCCTGCATCCTTTGCGACCCGTTCCCACCGCCCATTTTGATCTTTACCTGTTATTGGCTGGACACCATTCTGCTGCCAACGCAACTGAACAGAACAAAATTCCCAGCTGTGCTGAAGATTACATTCTTGGGACACAAGGATAGATGATGTCAGGGCCTCAGAGTAGAATCAAGGGGCTGAGTTTTTGAGAGGAGCACTCCAGGAAGGCCGAGTGGGAAACACACTTTTGTAGAGGCTTCAGTGAGGTGGGAGAAGAGGAAGCCATTCAGGTAGGTAGGTGGGGCAGCCTGGCCAACAGGGGCCTGCCCGGACTGTGCTGAGGAGCTGAGGAGCTCGGTACTGACCTTGAGAGACAGTTGAGATCTCTAGGGCTGAGGGTGACCTGGAATCCGCAGGAAACTCCCCCCCCCCCCCCACCCAGGGGCAGCATGGAATACAGTGTCAAGGGCAGACTTCAGGGGCATGTCAAACCTGAATCCCAGTGTCTGTTTGAGTCTGCATAGACTTCAGACGTTGCCCTGGTGGGCTTTGCAGCTGGGCTGACTGACTCAGTCTCCTGCAAGGCTTCAGGAATGCATGGAGCACCTGTCACACAGCACTCACGCACCTCCTCCTGCTGGAGGAGCAGGGCTCCTTTCCTCCTCCTCCTCCTCCTCGCCCCCTCAGTACCACCTGCACGGCCTGGGCTGGGGCCAGGAGTCCTCCTGACTTCTGAGGACTGACACAGGCTCTCTTTCCCACCCAGAACCTCCTGGAGATCGTGACCATGCAGACACGCGCCAAGAACCTGCAGGCGGCACTTGACGGGAAGTACGTGTTCCTGTACCGCAACACCAAGTCCCAGATGCTGGAGCGCAACCGGCTGGACATCTGGCTGGCCAAGTTCAGGACCATCTTCGCCCAAGTGATGAATGACTACCCCCAGTTCCAGGAGGCGCTACAGCACATTCAGCATAAGCTCGCCAGCAAGATGGACTCCTAGACCTGCCAAGGCTTCCTGGCAGGAGACCCGTGTCCCGAAAATCTATTCGTCCCCTAGAACAACACCCTTCTTAAGAAACACTCACAGGCCAGACACACGTGAATCGTAGCCACTCACACCAGCTGTGACGAAGCATTCCTGATCCGCTTTGGTGAGTTCGAAAATCCAACTCTCCCCATCCAGGGCAAGACCACTCACTCCGTTGGCAGTTCTGAGGTCTGCCTCACCGTCCTGGGACAGACCCTCAGTTTTGTGGAGCAAGCAATGGAGAGAGGGAAGCCAGGAGCAAGACAGAGCTTCATCCCTCACAGGGCCTGCTCCAGCTGTCTGAACTGCACGACCTACCCTCCTTCTCCACCCCGAAGAGAGCTCCCCTTCTGCCAACCCAGGAAGCGCTAAGCCAGACTGAAACCCAAAGATCAAAGCCAGAACCCCAGGGTTCCAAGGAGGGCAAATGTCTGTGGAGGAGGAAAGTGCTTCAGAAAAGGGGACACCTGTCTCTCACCCACCGACCTCCGACCTCTCTATTCTCCACCTCCCCTCCCCTCCCCTCCCCTCCCCTGGATTTCTGAGCACCAGTTGTGTGCTCTTGTAGATGTGAAATGGAAAATGTCCTGTGGAGTAATTTCAATTTTAAACTTTACAGCAGAAATTGACAAAAGCTGCTTCTGTTCTTTGTTTGTTTGGTTTGGTTTTTTGTTTTTTGAGACAGGGTTTCTCTATGTAGCCCTGGCTGTACTGGACTGGCTTTGTAGACCAGGCTGGCCTCCAACTCACAGAGATGCGCCTGCCCTGCCTCTCTCTGCTGGGACCACACACGTGCCACCGTGCCCAGCTCAAAAGCTGCTTGTGATCAAAAGGGTAGGACATGTTTATCCCAACACTGACATAAAAACAGCCAAGCAGCTAGGGAGACCAGCCCCGCCCACCCTACCACACTCCCCGCAACACCCACCCTGCTCCAGCATGCCAGCCCTGCCTCCCACCCTGGACACACCCCTGCAAGCCTGGCCTTCTACTGTGCTGTGTATTCTTTCTGTTTAGCAAGTCTGCAGTGTTTCCGTCAGGTACCTGTAAGTGCTGGCTTGCTGATGTAGAGTTTTTTTTTTTTTTCTGAAAGCGAGTTTGACAGTGCTAAGAAACAAGGCTCAGCTACCTGTCCCAGTGCCAATTAAAGAGACAAACAGCAGTGAAAAGCAGAGGAAGGGGGTTTAATTCAACGTGGCCACCTTGAGAAATGGGAACAAATAACGGACCGCCACCCACACCAGGTCCCTCCTGAGGGCCCTGATTGTGAGGTTTAACTCGGAACAGGGCAGTGGGTCTGTATGGCTAAGATTCTTGGTAGAGCTATGGTCCTATCTGTTAGGAGACCCCACACAGCAGGGGGTCCCTTTTGGACCCTGGGTTAGGCACAAGCCACACCCTGTTTTCACAGAGAGACAAGTTAAAGTGGCCGCTTTCTGACTCAGCACGAAATACAGCAGCCACTGACCTTACATGTGTAATATTTCTGAGGAAAAAGAGGAGGTCTGGGTTAGAAAGGGCTAGGATGTGGTGGTATGTTTTGATTGGATGTGTTATTTAGGGGACCCAAGGGAGCTTTTGATCACAGACTTCAATACTTTCATAGCTGGACCTTGGCAGCCTCTGGAGGAGGAAGTGGCCAAATAAGAGAATAGACCTTGGTGGCTCACTTTTGGAATGTAATCTGGGGGTGGTTTTTTTTGTTTGTTTGTTTGCTTGCTTGCTTGTTTGTTTTAGCAAGGCAGAGGGAGTGAGGAGAAGAGAAAGGTTGCCAGAGTCCCGTTCACCACGTTCAAGCTGGCCAGAGTCCCTTCACTGTCCACCACTGACCAGTCCCTTGACTCTGGTCACCCCTGTACTTGGTGGGGGTCAGACAGGCTGACAGCTCCATGCAGTGTCTCCCCCAGGACTTTCCCCTCTCCCAGCATGGGATGAGGGATTGGTTTTAATTTCTTGGGGGGGGGGATCCATTATTTCAAAAGTCTGAGAGGCAGAGAGCCATTCAGTACCCTCTCCTGTCAGAGTGGTTACAGCACTACAGGAAGCAAGGGCCTTGCACACGGAAGGCCAGTGCTAAGCCGCTAGCTACATCCCTGTCTGCCAACTTCGGTTTTTGAAACAGGATTTCATCAGGTGTCCTAGGCTGGCCTCAAACTGGCAATCCTCCTGCCTCCACCTCCCGAGTGCTGGGATCACACACCTGCATCACCACCCCGGCTTATGTCCCAATGTATGACCCTCACGTCAACCTCCTCGGGTCTAGCTTTTCTGAGTGACCACCCTGTACTTGACTCTCCCCTACCGAGCACACTGACGGAACTTCCAGGTCTGTTAATCTCTCCCTGAAGCTTTTGTGGTGACGTCCTCGGGCGGGTCTGTCCTGTGTCATCCCGGGCACCGCGTCCCAACACCTGCGCGCTCTGTCGCCCGCAGCCACTAGGGGACGCAGCGAGAACACGCGCCTGGACTGCGGCCCCTACGCGGAGGCCGTGTCACGTGGTCCCCGCGCTCGCGCCCCGCCCTCGGACCACATGACCCGCGCTGTCCGGCTGCCGGGCTTGGGGGTCTGCGGCTTGGAGGGCGTTTGCACAGGTGAGCCGGGCGAGCTAGCGAAGGCGGTGAGAGGCCCGACAGCCTCCGGAGGAGCGGCCTCCTCCAGGCAGGCCGGGCCTACCATCCGCGAGTTCCTGCTCCGGAGAACCGAGCAGAGAAACCCAGGCACCGGTGGGAGGGACCCCAACCCAGGCAGCCCTAATGACACAGGTGGCCCTAATAACACAGTGGACTCCGGCAAAGCCCGGGATTCTAGTTCGTTCCCGCAGTGCTAGGCGGGCAGAGCTCTGTGTGTTGGTCTCGCAGGGGGAAACTGAGGCCCGGAGAGATCGAGAACTTTAGACCTCCGAGAGCTTGGGTTTGGACTCGCCTGTGCCTGGTGGCGCCGCGGATCCAGCTGCTTTCCAGAAAGCAAGCTCGGGTCTCCGAGTCAGCCGTGGCCTCTGACCTCAGTTGCTTCCCCATTTTTTCCCTGAGTTGTGGGGCTGAGAGACCGGGCCTGAGCTGCCTGGTGCGTGTGTTTCTGGGTTGCGCCTGGGGCCTCCTTGAAAGGTCCTGGAAGATGCAGATTATCTCCCTGCCCGTCTGAGCCTGTCACTGTCCTTGGATGCTGAATCACTGTCTGCGTCACACACGTCCTGAAGGACAGGTGGAGCTGAGACTCTGCAGAAAAGACAAAATGGGACTCTGGTCCTCATGCCTGACCCACACAGTGGTTAATTGACTTTCTATGGCTAATCTGGAGGCTGGGGACCCTGGTAGCTCATTATGGCCGCTAGGCATCTGAAAGACCAAGGCGTGATTGGAGGATTGCAAACTGCACCTACCCAAACACCCCCACGCTCTCGCAAGATGCCGGAGGCCACTCACCAAGTTATGCCTGCCTAAGGGAAGGCACACAGAACTAACCAGGGCTGGGCATGGTCTTAAAGGCCAGAAAGGCCAGCATGTGGGAGGTGCTGGCAGGAATCCATCTCTTCCCTGGCTTCAAAGCAAGTTAGGGCAAGCCTGGGCTACTGGAGACCCTGTCTCAAAATGGCAACCAAGTGGGTTCAGAGAGCATCCCAGCTGGTCAACACATTTAAGTGGCCACCTCACACCCAACCTTTCCCAACTCAGTTCTTGAGTTATACCTTTCAAAACAAACAGAAAACAGTGACTGTCCGTGAAGCCTTTTCTGAGCTCTGTGAGAGTCCAGTGAGTTGCCAAACTTGCTGCCAGGGTCCTCAGAACCACCAGGTGTATAGCCAGTCCACCAGAGGTATGGCGGCAACCTGGCACTTACGGTTGGCATCCGAGCGAGGCCTGTGAAGTCTGCCCTGATTATAGTTAGATCAGAACTGAACTGGGTCATAGTTCAGCCCACCCCCACCCCACTGAAGAGCTGGGGAGCCACCAGCAGGAGAAAGTCACAGGAATTGTGGGTAAAAATATAACTGTCAACCAGGAGAGCCCTGACTTACCGGGGGCTGCAGTGGAGCCCCCAAGGGCTAGTCAGAATATTCAGAGCCGGCCCTTCTGCAAACAGGCCTTTTCCCCTTGAGCGCATCTGGTGACCCTGAGACCCTCCCACTGTGCTGGGTCCTCCCCCTATGTGTCATACCCCCATCCCCACCCCATCCTGGGGCCCAGCTTCTGCCCAAACCCTGTTCCCAGAAGGCCCACAGGCCTCTGTGGCCAGTTTAGCTGGAGAACGCTGTTCCTGGGTTCTTCACTCCAACTCCTTTTCTGCCTGTCCTTGCGGTGGTGCCCCACCCCAGCCTTCTGCTCGCACAAGGCCTCCTGATAAAGCCCTGGCTCCGTCTCACGGCTGTCTACAGTGTCGTGGGGCCCATGTCTGCAGCAGCCCCTCTGCCTCTGAGAGTCCCCCATACTTGGCCTTCCTCACTGCTGCTCTGGTGGGAGGCAGGCTGGCTGCCTCCTTCCAGGCACTGGCACGGTGTGTGGGTGCTGCTGTGAGGAAGTGCCCAGGACCCTCAGCCCCCACCCACATTGACCGAGGCTCCTCCTCTCCACAGGCCTTTAGGACGCCTCATGCTGCCCCCAGCCAACAGGCCTTCACCATGCATATAAGGAAGCAGCTCTGCTCCCACTCCGTGGTTGGGGTCTGCACCCTCATCTCCTTGTCTACAGCTGTCCTTCTTGGCCATATCATGCTCCGTAACTTACTGCTGCTTCCCCAAGACCCTCCTGAGTCCTCCCCAGAACTGTGGCGGACTTACAGGCCACACCATCAGGAAGGTTATGGGCCGGGACTCCGGCACACCCAGGAGCGCCCCGACCAGCCTGGAGCGGTGCCCGCACAGTGTGATGTACCCGCCAGCAGCCGCTTTGACTGCGCTCCAGACAGGGGCGTGTCCCGGGAGGAGTGCGAGGCCCGAGGCTGCTGCTACAGCCCGGCAGAGCAGGTGGCCCTCATGGGGCAGCCGTGGTGTTTCTTCCCGCCCGGCTACCCAAGCTACCGGCTGGAGAACCTCAGCTCCACAGACACGGGCTACACAGCCACTCTGACCCGTGCCGGCCCCACCTTCTTCCCAAAGGACGTGCTGACCTTACGGCTGGACGTGCTGGTGGAGACCGAGAGCCGCCTCCACTTCACGGTGGGTGAGCACAGGCGACGTGCGGTGTGGCTGCGTGTGGGCCCCTGCTGCGACACTGGGTGTGGGCAGAGCTGACAGGGGCTCTGAAAGACAGGTGCAGGCGCAGGAGGGGGACAGGCCACTCGGGAGGTGATGCCACAGCCGTCCTGTGGAATGTTCCAGGTAGTGGCTCCGCCCTGAGCACTTGCAGACGGCGGGAAATCGCCTGTGTTCCGTGCTGTCTCTCACAGTGTCTGCGGCACCCTTTCTGTGGAAGAGCACTTTGTGCTTTTAGTCTGTACTGTGCAATGCTGGGGACATCGTATGCTAAGTCCTGTTTATGGGACCTGGGCGATGGCCCCCTGGGTAGAAGCGCTCACTGCAGGGGCCTGAGGATGTGAGCGCAGTTTCCCCGCACCTGTGCAGGAAGCCAAGCTCGGCACGTGCACCTGCAGCCCCAGCTCTGCGGGGACAGAGACAAGTCTGGAGCTCACTGGCCTCAGCCTCAGTTGTACACACACAAACACATAGGCTTGCGCGCACCCACACATACACAGCCTTCGTGCGCACATGCATGCACACGCAGTACACCTCACACGCACATGCATACACATGCGTGTGTGTTTACCTCATGCATAGGTCAGTTAAACAGATATAAAAAATTAACTATTTGTGAAGCTGGATGGTGTCGATAGCGCGTGCTTTTAATCCCAGCACTGAGGGAGGCAGAGGCAGGTGGATCTCATGAGTTCAAGGCCAGCCTGGTCTACAAAGTGGGTTCCAGGGCAGCCAGGGATACACAGAAAAAAGAAAACAAACAAACAAACAAAAAACCTATTTGTGGGTCCCGGAACATAGCTCAGTGGTAGAGTGTGTGCTTGGCATTTGCAGGGTCTGAGTTCGATCCCCAGGAGTAGAAAAAAAATTGGAAAAGTGGATCGTGGTTGTAATTACAGCATTTAGGAAGCGATAGCAAGAGAATCTCAGTGAGTGAAGTGTCAGCCCAGGCTTCAGAGTGAGTTCCAGCCTTGCCCAGGCTACAGAGTAGGGACTTGCTTCAAAAATTCACCAATCAATTAACCAAAAAGATAAATAAAGCAAGGAAGAAAACACAGACTACTACTTACTGCTTCTCTGAAGTTCGAGTCTAGTAGCTGGTCTGCATTTCACAGCCTCGGGGAGGAAACTGAGGCCCACAGTGACACACAGTGTGCAGGCACCCTGGGACCTGAAATGACTGCCCAGGGTTCCTGGCTCTTGAGTGGCTTTGAGCACCCCTTCTCTCCTAGATCAAAGATCCCACTAAGGAGCGCTATGAAGTTCCCCTGGAGACCCCACGTGTCCTGAGCCGGGCGCCATCCCCTCTTTACAGCGTGGAGTTCTCAGAAGAGCCTTTTGGCGTGATCCTGCGCAGGAAGCTTGATGGCCGAGTGCTGTGAGTTGGGTACCTGGAACTCTGGCCCCACCCTGAGTCGACAGGACCTGGTGGCCCCTCAGGGACAGATCTCTATTCTGTGTTCCCCGGCTGTGATTAACACCATGAGTGAGGGCAGCGTGAGGAAGAAAGGGTTTATTTCACTTCACTGCTCCCAGTTAAGACTCCCATCACTATAAGGAGTCAGGGCAGGACCTGAGGCAGGAAGGGACCTGGAGGCAGGAACATAGGCCGAGGCCGTCGGGGAGTGCTGCTTGCTGGCTCCCTTCTCATGGCTTGCTTATCCAAGCCAGGACCACGAGCCCTGGGGTGGTAGGCCCACGGTGTGCTAGGCCCTCCCACAAGGTCGACAGAAACCAGCCAGCACAGCTTTTTCTTTGCTCGCGACCCACCAAGCACGTAACCGCCGCCACTACTGTTGAGTGCTCAGCCAGGGCTTGGCCAGGTGCTTCTACATTGGGTCCCAAAGGCTCCGTCGGTGGCTTCCCAGGGAGGAGATCCGTGGCAGTGTGTGGTAATGGCCTCATTGCTACAACAGAGTGCTTGATACCTACAGCATGACCCACCCCAAGGGACGAGCCACCCAAGTGCCGGTGGGACCAGGGAAAGAGCCTGGCCCAGTCTGCAATGGCACTCCCCCATGTGGCACGCCTAGTGGCCTTACCTTCACTTACCAATTGCGTCTCTACTGCACGCACCCTCCAGTATTGACTCCTTATCTCTGTAACTAATCAGTACCATCCCAACCCTCATTGTACTTAGAAGAACACAGGCTCAGGTAAGGGGCCATCAGCCTCTCTTGTGCCTTGTGTTCCTCCAGGGTTCGGGTCCCCCTCACAGAACTCATGTTTGTGTCACTATGTCCTCTGCCCTGGGGTGACATGGGTCCCTGGGCGTGTGCTCTGGCTCTTCTGTCTTCAGGTGCTGAACTTTCTGTGGCCATTGTGCCAGGGTTAGCATGATGCAGAGCCGGTGGCGTCACTCGGTCCCTCCCCAACCCTCCTTTCTGAAGGATCCATTCTCCTAGGTCTGTGTGGCCTGGGGTCCAAGGGAATCTGGTGTCTCCCCCAGGCTGAACACAACCGTGGCCCCCCTGTTCTTTGCTGACCAGTTCCTGCAGCTCTCCACTTCGCTGCCCTCCCAGCACATTACAGGCCTGGCCGAGCACCTCAGCCCGCTCATGCTCAGCACTGAGTGGGCCCGGATCACCCTCTGGAACCGGGATATGGCGCCCTTGGTAAGAGTTGGGCAGGGAGTGGGAATGTGGAGGCCGGGGCCCTGGGTGCGAGGCGCTGGCTCTTGTCCTCCAGCCAGGTGCCAACCTGTACGGGTCACACCCTTTCTACCTGGCCCTGGAGGACGGTGGCTCGGCTCATGGTGTCTTCCTGCTGAACAGCAATGCCATGGGTGAGTCACCAGGCTGGGGCTCCTCAGTAGTCCCTTCCGAGGGAGACAGCTTGGGGCGCTGCTGGCCCCGGAGTCTGCCTGTCTCCTGGGGACCTCACATGGGCAGAGTCCACTGAGCACAGTCCCCATCCTGCTCAGGCCCTCGGTACCTAAGGAGGGCCTGGGTGACACTCTGGGCTCATCTGCTCCATGGTCTTCAGGGCTTGATCAGCTGGGCTCCGCTGGCTGCCTCATCCCTACCCCGCGGTCATCCCCCACGCTCTGTAGCTAAGGGTTGACCCACCTGTGGGGTACTCTTGTTCCTGAGCCCAAGCTGCTTTTTCCCCCAGACGTGGTCCTGCAGCCCAGCCCGGCCCTGACCTGGAGGTCAACAGGTGGGATCCTGGATGTGTACGTGTTCCTAGGCCCAGAGCCCAAGAGCGTGGTGCAGCAGTACTTGGACGTTGTGGGTAAGGCCTGGCCCCTGCCCACCGGCCTCGGACCCCCGGCCCTGCCGCCTGCCCCCGGCCCCTGCTCACTCGCAGTGCTGGCCTGCAGGATACCCCTTCATGCCTCCGTACTGGGGCCTGGGCTTCCACCTCTGCCGCTGGGGCTACTCCTCCACCGCCGTTGTCCGCCAGGTGGTGGAGAACATGACCAGTGCACGCTTCCCCCTGGTGAGTGGAAGTTGGGGTGGGGCACCCCAGCTTCTGCGCTGTTGCCTCCAGTCTCAGCCTCCACTCCCTCCCCCTGCCGCAGGACGTGCAGTGGAACGACCTGGACTACATGGATGCCCGCAGGGACTTCACCTTCAACCAGGACGGCTTTGCAGACTTCCCGGCCATGGTGCGCGAGCTCCACCAGGGCGGCCGGCGGTACATGATGATCGTGGTAAGCCGGTCGAGTGCTGCTGCCTGTGTGTGGCCCCCTCCTCCTGCCGAGTGCTTGCCCAGGACGTTCCCTGACTCTCTGATGTTAAAGGATCTGGAAGGTTGCAGGCTTAGTGTCTGCTCTCCGGGTTCTTGGAAGCACCGATGTCATGGTCTGGGCTCTTTGGTCGGCAGGTGGGATCTGCTGATGGCCTGAATTGCCATAAAGCCCAAGGCAGGGCCACAACAAGCTGGTGTTGGTTCCGTGCCTAGATGTGGTTTGTGTCTCCTGGTCCTGGCTTCGCTCTCAGGCCAGCTCTGTCCATGTGGGAAGGGAATAGACTTGCCGTGTGCCTATCCCCACAGCAGGAAGGGGACAGGGGCTCTCCTAGCTGTGGTCTCCTGCCCAGCCTTAGCCAGAGACATACGGTCCAAGAAGGCCAAACAGCCACTGCCACGGATCCTTCAGCAGAGGAGCTGAAGCCATGGGAGGTTCTGAGGCTTGCCTCATCAGCACTTGCGGGGCGGTGAACTTGCGGGGCAAAGGCAGTGAGCCACAAACAAGTTAGGCTGGCACTTTACCACTGAGCTATCTCCCTAACTCTGTTTAGTTTTATTTTGACAAGGCCTCACTAGATTGCCCAGACAGGCCTTGAACTGACAACCCTCCTGCTTTAGCTTTCCAAGCAGCTGGGAAGACGAGCCTGTTGCACAAGGCCAGATGCAGTTTTGTTTTGTTTTGTTTTTTCCATTTAAAGACAGGGTTTCACCATGTAGGGATGGCTGGCCTGTATGTTGCTATGTAGACGAGGCTGGCCTCAAACGCACAGAGACCTGCCTGTCTCTGGGATTAAAGGCCCTTACCACTCACCACCATGCCTGGGACTTTTTAAAAAGTAAATGGGGGCTGGAAAGATGGTTCAGCAGTTAAGAGTTGTTCTTGAGTAGGAAGGAAGTTCGTTGACCTGGTACCCAGGTCAAGGAGCTCACTTGTAATTTCAGCACCTTCTTCTGGCCTCTGTGGAATCATGTGCGCGCGCACACACACACACACACACACACACACACACACACAAAACCACACATTTAATAAGACTAAACTGGACATTGTGGCACACACCTTTAATCCCAGCACTCAGGAGGCAGAGGCAGACAGATCTCTGTGAGTTCGAAGCCAGCCTGGTCTACAGAGTAAGTCCAGGACAGCCAGAGCTACACAGAGAAACCCTGTCTCAATAAAAAAATAAATGAATGAATGAATGAATGAATGAATGAATGAATGAATGAATGAGTAAGTAAATAAATAAATAAGTAAATGAATGAATGAATAAATAAATAGATGAATGAATGAATGAATGAATGAATGAATGAATGAATAAAAGAAGCAAATGTAAGTGATCCTTTTGTACCTCTGGAAAATCAGAGGACAGGAGGATCATGTATCCAGACTTACCCTGCAGCTTCTAGCAAACTCTAGAGATTGGATGGCCATTTTCCTGTACCATCCTGTCTCTGCCTCACTCTGTTCCACTTTTTCCAGTGGCTAGACCGGAGGCCACGTCCTTCTCACTGTCCACTCCTTTCCCCAGGACCCCGCCATCAGCAGCTCAGGCCCTGCTGGGAGCTACCGGCCCTATGACGAGGGTCTTCGGAGGGGCGTGTTCATCACCAATGAGACTGGGCAACCACTGATTGGGAAGGTAGTGTGTGGGCTGGGGCTGTGGCCAGGGGGACAGAGCAGCTGTCATGAAATAGAAACCATCATGAAATAGAACAGAAACAGCAGGGTTGGGGGAGTCCTCACTGGAGAAGACGCCCAACAGACTTGGGATTCCAGAGCGGAGGGGGTGTTCTCAGGCCTCACAAGCAGTTGGGCCCAGCTCAAGCCTAACCGACCTTTCATGAGGCTGTGGGGTTCTCCCTGGTCCTCCTTGTCCCTGAGGGCCTTCTGGGAGTCCTGAGTCCCAACCTTCCCCTCCTAATGTGTCCCTAGCGAGGGAGGGGCAGGCGTGGGCCTGTGTCTGAAGGTGGGGGCTCCACCATCAGAGCTCCCCAATGCCCTGGGTCCATGGTTCATCTGCCCCATGGCTTTGTGTGTAGGGCTGGCCTTGGTCTCCCAGGGCTGAAGCCCTCCAGCTCCAAGGCCTTGTGGGAGAGCCTTGTTTGCTACTGGGCTTGGGGTTTGCTGGTGCGTGTCAGCGTTGGCCAGCAGTGGGGCTGCTGCTCTGCTGAGGCCTGACAGGGCTGTGCAGCCTAGCTGGGACTGGTCCTCATCTCTGGGCTCTTGTTCAGGTTTGGCCTGGATTCACCGCCTTCCCGGATTTCACCAACCCTGAGACCCTTGACTGGTGGCAGGACATGGTCTCTGAGTTCCACGCCCAGGTGCCCTTCGATGGAATGTGGATCGTAAGTGTGGCCCCTTCCCGTGCTGGGGATGCCCCCACTCTCTGGGGACCAGCCCAGCTCAGACCTCGGCCCCTGACAGGACATGAACGAACCATCCAACTTCGTCAGAGGCTCTCAGCAGGGCTGCCCTGACAATGAACTGGAGAACCCACCCTATGTGCCCGGTGAGTCGCTGTGCCCCCACCCCCACCTGCCTGGAGGGGGACAGTGCTGGAGTTAGTGGTGTGAGCCAGGGAGTGCGCTTTTGTGCTTTGGAAGATGCGAAGTTCTCGTTTTTGGCAATCGGTAGGCAGAGCAGCCAGCAGGACAAACTGGAGAGGAAACCCAAGAGTGACACAGACACCGTCACTTGTAGCCAGTGCCCCAGGGGAAGGGGTTTGGGTTCAGATGACACTTGGGTGGGTCAGGCTGTAGGTTTGCAGAGGAGCATCTTTGGTGCCACCTGCCCCGTCTGTGGAATAGCAGGTGTGCCAGTGATGTGTGTCAGCCACCACAGGCCGGGGGTGGGGAGAGTGGGGCGAGCTGAGGCTGAGCCCAAGGAGCTGTCCACCTGAGAGAGGGTGTGGGCCAAGGGGAGGGAGTACATGGACCCCTGGCGGGTGTTCATGAGAAACTCGCCCTCTTCCCACCTAGGCGTGGTTGGCGGGGACTTGCAGGCAGCCACCATCTGTGTCTCCAGCCACCAGTTCCTCTCCACACACTACAACCTCCACAACCTGTATGGCCTGACTGAAGCCATCGCCTCCAGCAGGTGAGGCCAACCAGCCTGCCCGGCACTCAGTAAGGGCTCAGAGGTGGGCCACCTCCTGTCAGGGTCATGGAAGGAAGAGGCCACCTAGACGGCCCATGAGCCAGCGATGTCTGCACATGCCTGCTCAACTGTCTTGAAGCCAGCCTGTCCCCACACTTTATGCCCAGGGCATCCTAGCTGAAGTGGGTAGGGGATGGCACCTAAGGGAAGGCTCAGGGTGGTGGCTCACCTGCAGATGGCATCAGAGTCACTGGGGCAGGGCTACTGTGCCTGACATACTTTGGTGATGGCCTCTCTTCCCCACCCAGTCTGTCCTTCACAGTTAGTTCTCTCTCCCAGCCCCGATCCCCTTGCCACTGGCCCCAGGCACTCCGTTCTAGCACATAGGGGGGTGTGTATTACCCAGGTGAGGCCAGTTCTCTCTTTTCCCATCCCACTCAGAGCCCTAGCGAAGATTCGGGGAACACGACCCTTTGTGATCTCCCGTTCAACCTTCGCTGGCCACGGCCAATACGCTGGCCACTGGACAGGTGATGTGTGGAGCTCCTGGGAGCATCTCTCATACTCTGTGCCAGGTGAGTACAAGCTCCCTGGAGGGCTCTGAAGTCTTTGGGTTCTGGGCTCAGCACTGCAGAGAGTCTTGGGAGAGCTTGGAGACGTCTGCCATCTTGTGTGGGACGTGAGGCCTACAGGTCCCTACCCACCGTGCTCAGCTGTGTCGGCAGCCCACCTGTGGCACCTCTCTCAGCACCTGTGTCCAGTTAGCTCTCACCATTGCTGGAAAAGCCCTCAGCTTCTCGTCTTTCACAGTTGTTCTCTGGGGCCCCATCCTGAGATACACCCATCCGTTCTACCTGCTTTTTGGGTTTTGTTTGTTGGTTTGTTTTATTTGTTTGGTTTTCGAGACAAGATTTCTTGGTGTAGCCCTGGCTGTCCTGGACCTGACTCTGTAGAACAGGTTGCCCTCAAACTCACAGAGATCCGCCTGCCTCTGCCTCCCAAGCGCTGACACTAAAGGTGTGCGCCACCGCGCCTGGCTGTCTGCTCAACTTGCAAAAAGGAATTTGATTTTTGTTCCAAATACTTTGATGCCATTGGCCCACATTAGGTCAGAAAGGTCAGGAGCCCTGGAGAACAGGCTAGGGAAGAAAAGCCAGGCCGCCACAAGGGCAGCTAAGAGCCTTGTCTAAGATCTGGAACCTCCTGACTTACAGATGACTGGTTTCTGTAGGATATGCTCACAGACCTATGAAGGGTCCCAGCTGGCTGAGCTCTCAGCCTCATGAACTGTAGCTCACTCCAGGCAGGCCTGGTAGCCCAGGAGCCAGACTTAGAACTGCCTTGCAGAACTGGGATCTGGACTTTGTCCCTTTTCCTTTTGGGCTCATGTCTCTTAATAGCCCAAGGCTACCATAGCTGAGGCCAGCTTTCTAGACTTAATCTGACGGGAATCCATCCATTGACGGTGGCCTGACCATGGGTCTGCAGCCAAGCTGTGGCAGAGCCATGCCCCCTTGTACTGAGGTGTGGCTTGGTGCCCTTGCGCAGCCTTGCGGACCCTTCTTTCTGCTCCTGGTCTTCTGGGCCTCTCATCGCATTGCTGCGAGCTTCACCTCTCTCTTCAGGGCCATCTCCCCTTGTGATTTTGTCATCACGTGGCAGTTTCCTAGGACCACACCACCACTTCGCCTTAGTACCGTTACATTCAGAAAGCTCTTTCCCAAATAAGGGCACAGTCACGTATCCTGTGCCCCCGAACACCCCGGGCTGCTCTGCTGGTCCCAGGTGGTAGGAAGTAGTTGCTGACCACAGGTGGGAAGCGCAGAGGCCAGTGGGTTCTTGCCCGTCAGACACGGATGGTGAGGCTAGGGTCGACCTGCCCAGCAGGCCTGTCTGTCCATTTGCCATCTTGGTAACCTGTTGTCATTCTGCTTCTGTACCCAGAAATCCTGCAGTTTAACCTGTTAGGTGTGCCGCTGGTCGGGGCAGACATCTGTGGCTTCCAGGGAAACACGTCAGAAGAGTTGTGTGTACGCTGGACCCAGCTGGGGGCCTTCTACCCCTTCATGCGGAATCACAATGACCAGAAAAGCATGGTAGGATGGGGCGGCAGGGGAGTCCCTACCCACCAAGACCCTGTCCTAGGAAATCCCATGCCTGCTGGGAGAGCCCCGTCCAAGCTGTCCTCTCCACACAGGATGGTCAAGGAGCTGCAGGTTCTTTGGGTGGCTTTCCTGTTGAGCTCACAGCCTAGGAGCCCAGATATGTCCTGTTGTAGTGTGCTTTTCTGCTACTATGATAAACAACCATGACCAAAAGCAACTTGGGGCAGGAAGTGTTTAGTTCATCTTCAGCTTTCAGTCCATCATGAAGGGAAGTCAGGGCAGGAGCTAAGGCACAGACCGTGGAGGGACAGCTCTGCTCAACTGAGGTTCCCTTTTTCCACATGATGCCAGCTTGTGTCAAGTTGATGAAAAGCTAAACAGCTCACCTCCTTTGCCTTCTCTTCCCACACAGCCTCAGGAGCCATACAGGTTCAGTGAGACGGCACAGCAGGCCATGAGGAAGGCCTTGAGTTTACGCTATGCCCTTCTGCCCTACCTGTATACCCTCTTCCATGGCGCCCACGTCAGAGGAGACACAGTGGCCCGGCCCCTCTTCCTGGAGTGAGTCACTGGGTCAGAATGACAGTCTGAATGTGTCCCTGGGAGGGTTGTCCCTGGAAAGTCTCCCGATGCCAGGGTACTCCCTCCTGCCTTGGGCTGTGTCCCACAACCCAAGCAGGCTGCAGCTGAGTGTCACCAATGTGCCGTGTGTTCTCAGGGCCCCTAGACCTGGTCTCTGCCAGGACATCTGGAGGATGGAAAACTGGCTAGGGTACCGACCAGGCTTGTGGCTGACAGAGCTTTGATGAAGTGGTCATGAGTGATCCCTTTGAGGGTGGCTTATGGGAGAAAGACAAGCAAGGGATGTGCCGTCTGTGTCACCAGACGCCACTCCAGGGGCAGATAGTAGAAGGTTCTTAAGTAGGAAGTAGCTTGATCTACAGAAATCAGCATCTTCTCATTCCACACAGATGGACTAGAGAGTTAAGTAACAGTTACGCAGGGGAAATGGCCCAGTCCTTACAAGAGTAAGGACTCAAGTTTGGTCCCTAGTGTTCATGTTAAAAGGCTGGGCATGTGGGCGTGGTGGCACAGGCCTTTAACACCAGCACTCAGGAGGCAGAAGCAGGTGGATCTCTGTCAGTATGAGGCTAGCATGGTCTACAGAGTGAATTCTCAGCCAGGACTACATAGAGAAACCCTGGCTCAAAGAATAATCAAACAAACCTGGCATGGTGGCTTTCGCCTGGGTCCAGCACCGGGACCTAACTGGCTGCTAGCCCCTCAGCCTGGCCTCCTCAAGCTTCCAGTCCCAGTGAGACCCTGCAAAGACCAGGTAGATGACACCTGAGGGGCAATCCTAGAGGCCCCAGTCTCCGAGCCCTCATGCCTGTGTCTCCCGGGAAGGTTTCCCGAGGATCCCAGCACCTGGTCTGTGGACCGCCAGCTCCTGTGGGGGTCGGCCTTGCTCATCACACCTGTGCTTGAGCCTGGGAAAACTGAAGTGACCGGCTACTTCCCCGAGGGCACGTGGTACAACCTGCAGATGGTGAGTCCCAGGGTCCCTCACACTCAGGAGTGGTGGGGACCAGAGTGGCCACACCCTCCTGCTGTCAGCACCCACCCTCCGAAGTCCCAGCTGCATGCCGAATCCTCACCAGGGTGCCCCTTAGCGATCAGCTCTTTGCTGTAACCCCACTTCTAGACGAGGAAATCAAGGCTGGAATGGTTAACATCGAGGACCCTGCAGCCACTGCCGCCCAGCTGAACCAGGCAGTCCTTGCTCATCCTACACCAGGCCCACCCTCAGGGTCACAGCCAGCTTGTCTCAGGAGCACCCTTGGACCACCACACATGGCCTTGGGGGACAGAACATGGCTCCAAGTACTAGCATAGTAGCTGGGGGGCTACCGGGGACCCTTCTGACGTGAGCCCTTCCTCCAGGTGCCGGTGGAGGCCCTTGGCAGCCTCCCGCCTCCTTCATCAGCCTTCAGACCTGCTGTCCGCAGCAAGGGGCAGTGGCTGACGCTGGAGGCCCCACTGCATACCATCAACGTGCACCTGAGGGAAGGGTACATCATCCCACTGCAGGTACCAGGTCCAACACCAGGCCCAGGCAGTCGCCGTAGATGTCCTCCAACGGTCAGAGACATGACATGTGCCCACCCGCTTCCCAGGGTCCCGGCCTCACAACCACGGAGTCCCGAAAGCAGCCCATGGCTCTGGCTGTGGCATTGACAGCAAGCGGCGAGGCCTGTGGGGAGCTGTTCTGGGATGATGGGGAGAGCCTGGGGGTCTTGGAGCGTGGGGACTACACGCTGGTCACCTTCTTAGCCAAGAATGTGAGTCACAGGGCCTGCCCAGGCTGCTGGGTAGAAGCATGGGGTGGGGCTACCCTGACCTGGTGCAGGGAGGGACTGGGCCAGATGGCCACCATCCTTGGGTCCCCTTGTCCCTCATGTCTGCACGGAGGAGGCCGCCCTGTGGCACTTTACTGAGTCCCTGTTCTGGTGGGACTTGGTGTCCAATGACACTTTTTTTTTTCTCTCCACATTACCAGAATACCATTGTGAACAAGTTAGAGCATGTGACCAAGGAGGGGGCTGACTTACAGCTGAGGAAGGTGACCATCTTGGGAGTGACCACAGCCCCCACCCAGGTCCTTTCCAACGGTGTCCCTGTCACCAATTTCACCTACAGCCCTGACAGCAAGGTAGGAGGGCAGGTTGGGGGTTGGGTCTTTGCCTTGGTAGGCATGAGCGAAGGGGATGCTAAGGACCCCAGGGACCCGCTTGTTCAGCCATCATCAGACACAGTAATGGGAGGGAGACAGAGGGCACTTGGACCTCACCCTTGCCATATCTACCTTGGGAGCAGAGATGATGGAGGCTATGAGCTGCCAAACAGAAGCTGTTCCCAGTGGGATCAGGTGCCAATTCTGAGGCACGGGCCTCTGCGTGGAGAGGGATGGCCCCAGATTCGTCCCTCCTCTCCCTGGTGGGCACTGTCCTACCTCGGAGCTGTGTGGTTCCTGGGCTCCCAAGTCCCAGGATGCCCTTCCGTCCAAGCAGGAAGGCCAACATGCAGAGCACCTGAGGCCTAGCTCACAGGCAGGAACCACTTGGCAGCTTTTTTCTGTCTTCCAGACCCTGGCCATCCCTGTCTCACTGCACATGGGAGAACAGTTCCAAATTGGTTGGTCCTAGCAGACTCTGCCTGTTTCCAGAGGCCTCCCAGGGAGGCAACGCCCTCTGGATGGTGGCACCTGTAAGGACCCGGAGTATGGGTCTCCTGGCACATCTTTTGAGTTTTTCCACCGTGTTGCTGCTTGTGCCCTTGAAGCACTGTCTTAGGAGAGTGAGGCGTGCCTCACCTGCTTGACCCCAGCTGCCTGTCCCTGACACTATGGAGAATGTAGAGCTTGGTGCAGGGACACTGTCATCAGCCATGTGGCCCCTGCAGCTGCAACCCTACAAAGGAGGGACAGGAAATGTCAGCAGGACTTGAAACTTCACTGTGAAGTGCACGTACTTTGAATAAAAAGGGCATTTGGAACCAGCTCTCACGTTGCGTCTTCACAACCCCTCAGGTCCCCAGCGTCACCTGAGGTTTGTCACCTGTCCTAGCACTCCCACCTCTGAGTTAGCAAGAGAATGTCCTGCTGGGGCTGGGCCGGGACTTCCAGAGCGGGACCTGAGCCCTCAGCCCCAGGCACACTGTCCGCAGGCTCCCTGGCAAGCCCAGAGACAAGGAAGGTGTTTTATGTCAAGGGGTTGATGGGCTGAGTGAGGCTCAGCAGCCAGCCTACTTCTGTGAGCCACTGGCTGGATCACCGTTTACTGTCCCCAGCAGTCTCCGCCAGGGTCATCTCCAGGGTCACCGGAGCCTCCTGTTAGGCACTCGGCTCCTAGGGATCCTGTGGAGAGGGGGTCAGGGCAGTAATTACCACGGATTCTTGGGGTACTAGAGAGCGGAGGCACTTGGGCCACCCCCTGTGGAATGGGCCTCTCTATCTAGTGTTGCCATCTTGTTTTCCTCCACGTGGAAGGGCTGTGGAAGGGCGGACAGGAAGGCAGGCTCCCTAGGTGTCCAGAAGAGAACGAAGTCAAGGAAAGGCTAGTCCCATTGGCTGAGGCCTAAGGTTTGCTCACAGTGGCCCACACTGTGTGATCATGGCGTGATCCATGGCAATGCCTGAGGTAGCTTTAGCACTCCATCCATCTGGGACTGTGTCACCTGTCCCTGTGACGGGGGGCGGGGAGGGCACGGATGGACAAGTGATTAAAAGAGAAAGCAGTCAATAGCTGGCTTTTTGTTCATGGTTTATACATCTTCTAGAATGTCATATAAATGAGATCTGTGATTCAGCATGACTCTTCCACGTTGGTAGATGGTAATGGCTCTGCCCTTGACTGTTCGGTTTTCCCGTTTTCTCATTCCAACATTTCTTCATAGAGGGAAGCTCATTAAGGTTCCAGAAGCTCCTAAACCAAGGTGTATAGGGCCTCCCCAAGTTCCTTAGCAGGAAGATTATCAACGGGATACTCTCCAACCGGCTGAGCTGGCTTTCAGTCTGTGGGGTCCAGGGTTGCAGGCCTCACACGTGCTGGGGTGGGCTTCTCTGTAACAGAGCTGCTTCGTGTCTTGTATTCTGTCAGTAACCCCAATAAACTCAAGGCTTCATTAAGCTAGACTGGGGGCCTTGCTCTCTCTCTGGTGCTTCGTGGGGAGGTGCTTGCTCACACCTCAGTACAGGGAAGGGCCACAGCGTGCGTTTATAGCTGGGCTTTTAAACTTTCTTCTATGGGTCTGGGTAGGTCTGACACAATTCCGGCTCATGTCATGAGCAACCCGGAGGGTGGCGCGTAGCTTCAGAGGCAAGAAGAGGCTCTTGTGTCCTGGCGGCAGTGGGGGTTGTGGGGGGACAACGGCAGGGAAGTTCCCGTTCCCCAACTTCCCTACACTCGCAGTGTCAGCAAAGGGCACTCCCGGAATGGGGAGGGGGTGAGGGACAGGTGCCCAGGCAGCCAGACCTGCACAATCAACCTGGCACCAATGGGTTGGCCCGTTCCAGCCAGATTACCCTCCCACCCCAGCACTCCAACAGTCTGGCTGTAGTAATTGTGGAGAGTGAGTGTGAGGGCGCACTCACCCGTGATTCTCACACTACCGACTTCCCAGCAGCAAGCAGCGCTCAGCAGGCTCACACAGCACCCACCTGTGCTCTTCAGCAAACATTCAAATCTTGGGAGCTTCGAAGTCCTACCCTTGTAGAATGGTAAGCTTCTACAACTGGTAGAACACATCACCACAGTTTTTTGTTTTTTGAGACAGCATTTCTCTGTGTAGTCCTGGCTGTCCTGGAACTCACAAAGATCCACCTGCCTCTGCCTCCTGAGTGCTGGTCAGCGTGTCAGAGGCTGCAGTCCATCAGCTCGTGTGGGCTATGGGCGGATTCAGCTATAAGTGTTGTCCCGAGCTGACCACAGTCAACCCTCATCTTCAAGGCTCCACAGCTGCGCCAGATCTGTTCCCAGTCTCCTCGGCCCCCTGTCGTTTCCTGGTGTTCTGTCCTGTGAGCATGTGCAGCCAAAGCTCCTGCCCTTCACAGGATGTGAGTGAGCAGGTAAGCTCCAGGGTGACTTCTCTACCCCCAAGCCATGGCTGAGCCACATGCGCAGGGTCCAGCTCACCAGGTAATGTGACAACTTAAAGCACCATCAAGAGGCTTTCCCTGAACTCCGAGGGCCAGCCACACGTACTCACGGCGTCTCCCAGCTTGTGCTTCACTTTTCTACTTTGTGTCACTGAAGACCTGACAAGTCCACATCACGAGTTCTTTTCCCATCATCTTCAAGAGCCTTTTGCCAAACCCAAAGTCACTATCTATCTTCTAACTTATATGGATTTTGTTGTCTGGCTCCGATTTCAACATCTCTGCCCATGATGTGGAGTTAGGGAGAGAAATGGTCTGTTCATGACCAGACCAGGAAACCTGGTAACACCTCAAGAATGCTACACTCAAATTCATGGGAAAATTTCCATGTTTAATGTAAAAGGCTTAAAGCATTGAATTATTTACATGTGCATTAGAAAAGATGGCAAAACCCGAGGGTCTTGAGGGCCTATAAGAACAGTTCCTATAAACCCCATTAAATAGAAGTGTCCCGTTTGCAAATGGGCGCTCCAGACAGGTGCCCGCATCCAGGCCCTTGGTGTAGCAGTGCAGCTTCAGATCAGGTCAGCCACTGAAGGAGAAGAAAGGCACATTAGCAAGGCCTCGTGTCACCGCCCCAACCCGAGCCACCAGCAGAGCCAGCAACTTGCCATTCATGGGCATCTCGTCTATCTGGGTGGAGTAGTACTGCTCTATGTCCCTGAGGATGCGGATATCATCATTCTTCACAAAATTGATGGCCACACCTTTGCGTCCATATCGACCTGATCTCCCGATTCTTCGGAATAAAGCATGTGTTAGTAAACAGCCTCACAGACGAAGGCCAACAGTCCTGAGCAAAGGAGGAGGTACACACCTGTGAATGTACAGTTCTCTGTTGTTGGGCAGGTCGTAGTTAATGATGAGGGACACCTGCGGGACATCCAGGCCCCGGGCCCAGACATCTGTGGAGATGAGCACCCGGCTGCAGAGACAAAAGCCAGAAAGATTGAGAGCAGACCAGCCTCTGCAGAGCTGTGTCACATCAGCCACACTGCATCGGGACCTGCTCCAATCACTTAAGCCGTGAGCTGACAGAGACAGCACACAAAACAACAGACAGCTGACAGAAAGAGCAGCTGCTCCGCCCACACAAAGGCCAGAGTCCTGCACGCCACCACACCTGAAACACGCCTGGTTTCCTAGCCAACATGCTAGGTGCACAAGGACAAGGGGGTTGAAAACAGTGTAAGAACACAGCGCTAATGTTACTAGAGCGCCATCCTGACACACTGTGAAGAAACCACCCGTTTCCTTCAACATTGACAGGGTTACTAGAAAGCAGACGGACTCCTTTCCACCAGAAATTAAAGGAAAAGAGAATCCCAGCGGAAAGCAGCAGAGCAGCTGTATGTGTGTGTGTGTCGCTCACAAGAGTGTGACTTCACTGCCTTGAGTGGCACTACAACTGAGCCAGGAGGAAGGGAAAGGTCAGAGCAGTGTGAGGCCAGCAGGCCAGAGACTCCAGATAAACCGCAGATGGCAGACAGATACAGAAGAAACCTATATCTAGACTCAGTCAAACATCAACTCCTCAAAAGCAAAAGCAAACAGGCAGAAAGAACTGCAGGCAGAGGGAAGCAGGAGGCAGGGGCTTCTTAGAAGAGCAGCTGGACTGAGACATGCAGCCTCAGAACTTGAGGCTAAGAGCTGGTGGACCACATCATCAAGGCAGCAGTCAGCTGACCATCTCAGTAGCACCTCCCTCAGTCTCCAGGATACTTGGAGGTAGAGAAAACTGAAGCAGCACTCCCACCTTGGACACAAACTAACTTGAACACGTCTCAGATGAAACTCAGAGATGAGGACAGAAAAGACAAACAGGTATAAATCTAAATAAATTCTATCCTGCAGAGCAAAATGCCACTACAGATTCAAACATACATTCATGCCTGGCACAGTGGTGCACGCTTGTGAGCCCAGCACTCAGGGAGGCAGAGGCAGGCTGATCTCAGAGTTCAAAGCCAGCCTGATCTACAAAGTGAGTCCAGGACAACCAGGGCTACACAAAGAAACCCTGTCTCGAAAAAATTGAGAAAAAAAAAAAAAAAAAAAAAAAGCAGCTCGCACAGCAACAGGCCCACAGGGCTCAGGACACCAGTGGCAGGTTCAAGTCTACAGAGAAACCTATATCCGTATACAAGTTTACAGACTGAGGACAGACGCAGCAAACATCCAGGCCACTGAGATGGCTCAATAGTTTAGTCAAGGAGCTTACCGCCAAGCTCCAAAACCCAGGTTCAATCTCTGGGACCAACATGGTGAAAAGAGAAGTGACTTCCACAAACTGGTCCCTGACCTCCACACACACTCTGAGAACACATACAATGCTACACCCACAGGGACAAATAATAAAAGGACACAGAGGATGACCTCATCTACTCAGTGAGAGAGAACGCAACCCAAGAGGCAGCATGTCAGCCAGCTGAGGGCTATCAGCAGCTCAGGTCTAGTGGGACATATCCTATTCAGGACACACATATACACCATGCAAAAATGACCCAAGGAGATCACAGCAGGCCTCAATCAAAGACACAAACCCAAAGGCCCGTGATGTTCCAACACCTGGTTACCAGAAGATGAACAGCGATCAACCCAATGGGCAATTAGTTTACACTAACGAAACAGCCCACACCCGGCAGTGTCCACTCAGAGAGCAGTGACAGCCCGTGTGTCCTCCCACAGGAGCCAAAGCTGCGGCGGCCTACCTGGCACCTGACCGGAACTCCTTCATGATGGACTCACGCTCTTTTTGGGGCATGTCTCCATGCATGGACGACACCGTGAAATTGGCCTCTCTCATCTTCTCTGTCAGCCAGTCAACCTACAACAGAACCGGAGATA